GTCGTCAAATCCCACACTTGTCCGTGATGGACAGAGATTGACGCCTAATTTCGATTCTACACGTTCGCCCGTAATGAGTATTTGTTTAACCGTTTGTATATCTTTGAACAGACTTTATTAGCCGATTTAGAAGGCACGTTTCTAGTTAAGTTAAGTCATCACACTTCAGTGAATATTAAATGTCCTAACTGTCTACCTGTTATGTTGAATTTTGCACGATTCAGAGTTTCCGCTTTATTTCTGTTCTCACTTTGCAAATGATTGGTTTTGGTCTTAATTCGGTTTTACAGATGGAGTCGAAAGATATCGATAAGGCGCTAAAGTCCTTTTCGCGTTCTGGTAATCAGAGAAATCGATCGTCTGCATGGAGGTGCCTGTCGTTCATCGATAATATAAATAGGAAACCACCTCCGATTCAGATTGCCGTTGGAGGGACAACTGGATTGTAAGATTCCTATTTCTTCATTATTCAATGCAAACCTCTTTTTGATACGTGTTTGTTAAGGTCTCAAATTTAGGGAGCCTAACAGTTCCCAGGATCGACTTTCTATTAACCTCAACATTGGATTATAAATCTGTTGTTCTCTTTTTTACAGCAATCGCGAGGTTGTTATTCAGCGCACCTTTACTTCCTTGCAAATGCCTTGAGATAACACGTGGTCTAGCCCCGTACCTCAGAATTGATTTTTGATGTGGGGTGGTACAGTGGTCAACCATATGCGACTCTAAGCGGCTGTTCTTCCTCGGCAAAAGGTAGGTAAAAAACGATGAGCTTTTCTTCGAGAAGCCGGTGAACGTGTAATTATTGTTCAGATTTTCATCCTTATGTTCGCGTTGTTGAAGCGCTTGACCTAGTAAATCACACACTAGTGTGTGCCAGACTCTGAAGGCGATACTGCCGAAACGTCGGCTACCGTTGTGTTGTACGTGTTATATTTGTAAGGAAGCAAAGGTATGCTGAATAACAACCTCTCGATTGCTCTTAAAAAGAACGACAGATTTAAGGAGCCTGCTTATAAATGTATGGCGAACCGTACAGTTAGAGCACACTCGGTTTAATGATGTATTCGAATAACCGAGAGCTCCGTTGCTGGAGCTTTGTTCGGATTTTAGCATGGAAATGGATTTGTTGTGCATTGAATAATTTTGGTTATGACTTTGCCAATCACCTATGGTGTCATAGAGAACAGCTGTTCTATTCTAGCACCATCAGAAGTTAGGTACAGTTTGTCGCTACAAAAGGTAACGGATCCATCACAAAGAACATAGGACTACGTGTGTGGCAAAATTCGGTGTGGGTATGTATAGTATACATCCTGTGAAGCGTCGGTGAAGTGGAGGAAGAAGTTTCCAGTTTTAACTGCCCGAGTTATATTCACAGTTTCATACTCATACAGTGCTTCCCATGCCTACGTGTCTTGGTGCTCTCACGTATGTCTGCTTTAACTGTTGGTTATTGATTCTTTAGAAGGTTTACAACCGTAATGATTAGGGAGCATATGGGACACAGTTCAGTCTTACCTGCAGCGAACCCTCTCCTTTCTCCTTCAATATTCGAAAAAACTCAGTAGATGACCTCCATAAATCTACACACTGTTGCCAAGCCTGAACTCTTCCCACTGTTGCCAAATCTGAATCAGTGTTTAAGATCTTTCAAGTTATTTTATAGTCAGTTGAATTATAACTGATAGAGGAATGATAGAAGACCTTATCAGATCCACTCTACCGTTTCAGTGTCGATCTAAAAGTTGCTACTATTGGAGATGTCCAAAAAGAGTGTGAAGGAGCATGTGAAAGGGTTTCAAGCGTTTAAGAGAATCGAAATATTTACCTGTTAGAACATTGATTGTTGATATTGGATCTGGATATAAACTATTACAATGTTTTCTCTCCCATTATACTATTTATAGGTGCGTGGGATACATATTTACTCGAACTAGCAAGACTATCGCGACTGCTTTGGGGATATCTCTCATCGCATTTCAGGTTTAATTTTCTTTGTTTTGCATTTTTTTTATTTCCATAGCAGAGCTGTTATCAGGTTGCGATGATTTGCATATTAACTAGGCAACATGGTCACTCTTCGTATTTCTAATGAGTTTCTTTCATTGGCCAATTTTCGCATCAGTAGTGCCTCAATGTCTAAACTCTTAGCCACCGCGAGCGTTTTTGCATAACTGCCATGTGAAATCACTGCTAATTTTATGAATGGCTCATATATTTCACATATAAGGCTCATATATGGATCATGGACCCGTTCGTAGGTTGACGCGTGACAAGTAAATCATTCCGAGCACCGGTTCTTTTTTCACTCATTTTTGGCGTTTCTTGAATTATTCTGTCTTTATTGATTTCGTAATGCCTAGTGATTATTTTTTTATGGACCTAGTGTTAACATGTTAGCGTAATGTACCTCTATGGTGCTCGAAATTTTAAATTCCTGGTGAAGGAAGATTTCTGCCGTTACTTTTTCCATATTATATATGTAACATAATGTTAATACAATAATATATCAAGGGGCAGATAGCAAAGAGGTAATGGCTTCAATCATCACGAATACCGTGCTGGTTCGTTCTCGCCTTAAGCTCAGCAAGCCTGTCATCCTTCCAGGGTCGGAAAATTGGTACCGACATTGTCCGGTGTCCGGGAAAAAACACTCTCTATAGTCCAAGTGGAAACGCTTTAACCCGGCTATCTCAGGACTTCAGGGAGAATCGACCTAACCGGCATTCTACGATATTCAGTATGGAGTTAAAATCCTCAAGCAATTGCTGAAGCCACAGGTAGAAATTGGAAGACCTTCGCTGATGATGGATGTGAGGAAACAAGTCGAATGTAAGAGGTAGAATGCGTGAAGACGGATCGTATAAATGAATAAGTAGATGAATAAAAACCGCAACGATGCGTACTCTTTTTAACGGTAGGGTATATTGCGAAATATAACTTCATTGGTGCTGAGATATTTGCAAAACTCCGGACTGTAGATGTCTGCAATGGCGAACGAACGCGCTATTACCTTTTCCGGGAACTAACGCGTTCATCACCACACCATATGGGTCCTTCGTTTCGCCTTTCTCTGAAGTAGTTCGACTGATCAGTGACATCAACAATCACCCGTCAATGGCGTTGATCTGGGGAGCCCAAATCGGCAATAAATCCAGTTAAGCCGAAGTTGTAGTCGAAATCACAACTTTAACTTTTTACTTACTGCCTATTACAATTTTTCACGGCAGGGTATAATGTGTGATACGAATACAACGATGCTGAGATATTTGCAAAACTCCGGATCAGAGGTATCTGCGATGGGGATCGAGCACATTATTGCCCTTTCCGAGCGCTAACACGTTTACCACCACACAATGCTGGTCGTTCGTTTCGCCCTTCTCTCAGCTAGATATATATCGTACTTTATCATAGTGTATTAATATAATGGCGTTTACAATATTGCATTACATTATTGCCATTATATTAGTAGTATCAATTACTTGTGGTATCGGTATTATATCATGTTGTTAGTATATTATATTAATGAAGTATTATATTATATTCATATTATTATTGTGTTATGTTAATATATCCATATCCTATATTATTAAATATTTTTTATTTTACATGTCCCATCATCGCATCTACTTTGGAGCCTCCAGCACTTTTTGCATTCTTCTTTGCATGCAGTGACGGCAAAAGTCTATGAACATTTCGCTTGTTGTTTCGGAAATTTGACGGTTTCATTTTCTTTACGAATGCCGGAGAGCACTGGTTGAGTTGATTCTCCTTAAATTCTTGGAGTCATCCGTGTTAAGGCGTTTCGACGTGGATTGAAGGACAGCTTTCCGAGGGTGCCAACCGGCACCTGGCTTCTTGGTCGGTTGCATCATTTACCCCGCCTTTAATACGTATACATATAGTAAAATATATTTATATAGTGGGTAAAAAAGAAAAAGAAGAGAATTAGGCATAAATTTCGATCCAGTCTTCATGGAAATGAGCAAGAAGTTGAGAGCGCTTGAGGAAATATAGATGAATTATGCCCCTGTTAGAAGGTTCGACAAAGGATCTGTATTAGGTAGACAGTTTCCGTTATTGATGATATTTGGGGTCTGATTCCAAGCGAGAGAAATACCCACAAAAATGAAATATTTGAACCGAAAATTCTTGAAAATATGAAGATGAAACAGTTTGTTGAACTCTCAGCTTCTGAGTGTAACAGTTGGGAAAATTATCTTCCAGCTTTAACCACTAATGACTTGTGGAAAGTTGAGAATAAGGCATCAGTTTGTGATGATTCCGCAAAGCACACACGGAAAGATGTTTTCAATCGATGACACACGCTGTAAACTACTGCCGACCCCACGAAGAGACGAATGCCGTCTGTCCCTTCATCTATCAAATTAAGCGTAGTTCCTAATGTATTTTCGTAAAACGTACAAATCGTATTTTCCCGGACCACGGTGACTACAGTATCAGAGCGAGCGAGACTATCGATTTAATGCAATGTCGTGTTAGGACCTGCGCGAAGAGACTAAACATAAGGAAAGAGTTATTTACAGCAAATGATAGCAGAGATTAAATGTATTCAAAGACGGAATTAAATATAAATTATGACATAAAGTTGCGTCAGATGGTTCATAATTGCTTTTGTGACTGCTGCCCGTATCGCGTTCCTTCCTCGAATAGTTGGTTTTTATGATTCGTCTGTCATGCGTAGTTACTCTTTTTTCTAATGTACTTCAATCATTGTTTGCTCATTCGTTCCTTATTATACGGTGATGACCTGGTTTTTTCGTCTCTATCGTTTGTTGCTTTCTCCTTCCCCTTTTTTCGTCTGTATTTGAGTTGAACAAGAAACTCTTGTTTGTCTTTTATTGTGTTTTCTTCTTGTGTAATAGCAAAAGCATTTTAATTATGCAGTGTATCCTGGTATTTTTTCTGGAAATTTTCTCAGCGTCATGTATTCGTCTAGCCATTTTGCTGTTATTCTATTTTTTCAAGAGTTAGATATGATCAACGCAGAAGTGTTGGAGATGCTGCAGCGTTATTTGAAATGGATAGTCATTCCGATAGCTTTGTGTTCTGCGTACAAGTATGTGGTTTTGTATAATCTTTGAGTTAATTATGCGAGTTGGCAAGGAATGGATTTAGGTTATGCTTTTTCTTGCTACCTGGTCCTCATCACCACGGAATTTTGACGTACAAAGATAAAACGGTGCTTATAACTGGTGCTAGTTCAGGTAGACGAAGTGGCTTGTTTTTCCTTAGAAAAGAATTATTGTCCTAGGCAAAAAACAACTTTTAATCATCAGATGTGACGTTAAGGTAATTGACAATCGGCTTATAGGCCTCGGTCGTGCTTTGGCATTCGAGTTATACAAAAGAGGAGCTAAAATAATTGCCACTGCACGCAGTATCGACAAACTTAAGGAGCTGTGCGAAGATATGAAACGAAGTTTTGACGGCAATCCACACGAACCAGCGTACAGGTGCATACTGTTATCCCTATGTGTTACCGTTTAGTACCAGTTTGCTATGGGTCTAATGAGTAGGAGCTTTAAGCTGCCACATCACATATATTTGTTGAATCCTATTGACATTTTGGAAGGATTTGTGACGGCACCATAGGGTAGGCGAAATTTCTAGGTCTAGCCGTTGACTACACCTAGTTTCCTTCTAGCGTGCAATGTATTATCAAAAATAGGTTAAAAAACGTCCTAACTCTGCTAGTACGACAAAACCGCTGCTTTTTGTTTCCTAATGAGTATTTCTATACATTTTCTTCTGTGGAAACTAATGTTGTGTTATTCGTTTTTGACTATTTTTTTAGTTTCTGAGCAATTGTCTCGTTGAGTGGCCATAGAGAGAAATCTCGCGAGTGACATAACTACATTATTGGTTTTTTTGCTTCGATTGGTTAATTTTAGCTATCTTGATGTTTGCGAACCCATGGACGTCGAACTGCTGAAGAATCACGCTATCGACGGCAAGACGATCCATGTTTTAATAAACAATGCTGGCCTTTCAATGCGTGGATCTATAGTGGATACTCCGATAGACATTTATAAGTATGTTTTAAAATATGTTAATCTGCCATTTTGCTCTTAAAAGCGACCTTTGTGAAGGGATTAGTTTCTAAATTGACAACTGAATTTCAAGTAGAGCGATACGGTTTCAATGTTAGTCAGTGTTCTTCCCAAAGTATGCGACACATTTCTAGTGTTGAAGTGGAAAACTTTTTGAAAATAAAAACTCCTTCTAGTCTGAAGGTGATCGTTAAAAGTGCAAAGTAGAAATAGAAGTGGAATTTGTGTATTGTTCTGAAAGTGCGGCAACCCTTCTATTGGTTTCAGACAACTTATGGACGTTAATTTTTTCGGTCATATAGTTGTCACTCAAAAGCTCATGGATGCAATTCCTGATGACGGTTGCATTATAGCAACCAGTAGCGTGCAGGGCAAATTACCGATACCTTATAGGAGTGCATACGGAGCAAGCAAGCACGCTTTCCAGGTATTTTCGAAGCGTAAGCGCCTTGTTTACTTCAGCATTCGTTATATTCAGTTTGGAGGAAGACCATTGTTTTAATGATACTGAGATATTTGCAGAACTCCGGACCACAAGTGTGCGGTGGGGAACGGACGCGCTATTGTCCTTTCCGGGGAGTAACGCGTTCACCACCACACCACGCGGGTCCTTCGTTTCGCCTGTCTCTCAGCTAGTTCTATCGATCCTTTGCCATCAGCAATCACCCGTCAGTGGGAGCAATCACCGGTAGCTGAGAGACAGGTGAAACGAAGGAACAGCATGGTGTGGGTGTGGTGGTGAACTCATTACTCCCCAGAAAGGAGAATAGCGCGTTCGTTTCCCACCGCAGGCACCTGAGGTCCGGAGTTTTGCAAATATCTCAGCATCATTAAAGTTATATTTCGCAATATATACCCTACCGTTAAAAAGAGTAGGCCGTAAATAATAAGTTAACAAAACCATAGTATTTGCTAAAATCTCAGCATTGACGTTCATATGTTCTTATGGTTGCAGGCATTTTTTGATGCACTGCGTTGTGAAGCTCGCCCTAATCTACATATTCTTACTGTGTCGGCTGGTTACATGAACACTGGTTTTGGCTCACGTGCGCTTAACGTGGAAGGACATCCAGTTGGAAAAAATGATCTAAACCAACTAAAGGTCCGATTTTTAACACAACTCATTTCCACTTTGACAACTATAGGTTTTACTAATAGGCTAAATTGTTTCTCTCTCCCGTCCATCCATCTAGTTTTGTCCACGTGTTGCGTGGATCGTTCCAGTCTGGTCCAACAGGCCACGACCTTGGGTTAGGTGTAGGAAATATTCCCGGCTCAAGGTCTGGATTAGGCACATCTTCAATTCTTTCAATCGTTGTAGCGGTTACCTTAAGAAATTAATTCAAGAATATTGGAGCATGTGAATGAGTAGATAATTTCTTTTACCGGTTGAGTAGTTCGTGTTTCCACATGAGCAGCGAAGTTGAAAGACTGTATGGGTTGAGGTTGCACAGTTGCGAAGAAGTTGAAAGGCTGAGCAGGTTGAGGTTGAATAGTCGGAAAGAGACTGATAGGCTGAGTAGGAAAACTTGGAAGAAGAGTAAAAGATTGTGGTAAGAGCCATGAAGTATCCGGAAAAAGGTTGCCGAATAATTGTGCTGAAAATTTTTGTTTCTTTAGGGAATTGCCATAGCTTTTCTTTCTCTTTTGCTTGTTTTGGTTCATATCCGTTTGCTATTGAATGACTTTTTAAAAAGATGCCATAATTGTTTTGTTCCGTAATTAAGTCTACAATCTACGGAAAAATTTCTTATGTTCTCTATATAGCAGAGCTATATATCCTATATATATATATATAGCCATAATCTCCCGACGGTTTACCGCCTCATCGTGGCTGGGAGGTGTTCTTGGGAGTCGGACTGCGATGTACAACAGGGGATTCATCCCCTGGCAGGGTGTCCCAAGCTGAGGAGTCCGGCGTTTCCATCAGGAAGCCTAGCTAAGAGTAAACCAATAGTAGGATCCACCATCGTGCTGGTATCAAAGTCGCATGGTGATGAAGACTTGGGGCAGACTTTGGCCAGGCTGACCTCGGGGCACCAGGGAACCATAATAGCTTAACCAGCAAATTTCCGAAAAATGGAGATTATGTTGAGGCCCGCACCAGCAGTGAGGACGGGCCATTCGAGTATCAAGTAAGTAAGTATAGCAGAGGTTATGTACTGCGAATTGAATTACTTAGCCACCATCAATGATTTATACGATTTTTAAATCAGTTAAGTTTTTTCGAACTTCATGAAATCAATAATCTTTTAAAGATACAAGGAATAAACAACTGATGTTGCGGAAAAGTGGTTTCGAGACCTTTTGCTTGGTTACTTATTTCAAATGTGCTCTTCAAAAATTACCTAGGCATTTTCAGAGTTGACGTGTGTTTCTTAACGCTGTTTAGTCTATGACGCTGTTAACGTCAATTTAGAGTTCGTGGACTTACCTTCCGTGATTCCGCATAACAGTGCGATCGTATAATAGTAGTTCATTACTATGTTAGTCATAGCACGAAGTAGGGAATTACGTAACATTGTCTAGAGCTGGTCAGGTGCAGCACTGAGACGAGCCAAGGTTGTCGTTCGTCCGTCACACTATTAGCGTTACCATTCGTATTTTACACTGTTGTCGAGGACGTTGGTTCATTGGTTGATATGTGTCGTTAATCAAGTGTGTTTCCTGCACAGTAGTTTCATTGCTTTCATTCCTTCTTGTAAGTCGAATTTTAAATGTCTTCTTAAGTTTAGAAGTCGTATAAATAGATTTCAAAAAAGATGAAAAAGATAGCGAAGTTTCGAAAGTGGCTCACGAAGTGAGACATTCCTTTGTTAGTCTCCAAATCGGTTCCATGCGTGGTACTTGAGTTTCGTAATCTATGCGGCCAAGCACCGGTATTTTTCATTAGCGCGTCGGCTACATTGTGGTTTTAATGTGGTTCACGTCTGTGTGTGGAAAACTTAATAAACGCAAATGTGTTTTGAGATTTTTTCCTTTTTAAAAGAAAGAGCGGTAAGAATAAGGAGTAACGTTGTATAGTGTAACTACGTTTACAGGTGTGGGTGCACTTCATTGTTTTGTCAAAGCAGTTGCCTGTGTCTTCTTTTTTTCACTGTGTTTATTCTTCATATGGTGTTTCAAAGTATTACACCATTAACTTCACATAGAACTACAGAGTTTCAGCAGCCATCATTTTTTAATGGTTTTGATGAGTTTTTTAGAAGTATAACTGTAAACTTGATTTGTTATTTCTACTACACGATTACGACGAACTTGTTGCTATTCGAGTTTATTGCTTGACTCTAATTTGCAATAGGGCATTTCACATGCTGAAGTTAAAAGACTTGAAAAGAACTGGTTTCAAGTTCTACTTCTAGTCGGATCCGAGAACCGTTGTTTGGTAGACTGCGTGTTATAGGGTCGGTGTCGCTTTTAGCTTTACGAAAATATCACACTTTGGATATGAGTGAGAAAGAAATCTTAGAAACATAAAAAGACAAATCTTTCTAGTTATGAGATTAAAATTACAACGCCGATTTCCATAATGTGGCATCTGGAGTGCTCACACATGAAGCCTTCCATGATACTTGTTTGGTGCAAAAGTGATTGCATTTTCTAGCCATGAATTTTACATCTTTGGGACTAAGCTGAAGCAAAACCCAGCTAACAAAAATTTGCGGTAAAAGAAGCGAAAAGTAGCCTTCGAAACGGCCATTTTTTTTCGATTTGTAGTCAGTTCATGAGGTACGTATCGGGCCTTTTCTGTCTTCCAGTTTGCTGGACAGTCATGAAACATTTTTTTGACCATTTTTCGTGTAGTTCTAAGAGGATCAGATTGCATGATTGCTTTCACTTGGCTATTGTTGTCTTCCGTTGGCCAGTTACAACGCTCCTCATGTTAAAGCCTCACGCGCTTCTACAACTTCCTGAACTGCAAGTTCAGTTTTTGTTTGTTAGCAATTTCTGTACGAAATACGTTTTGGACGTTATGAATTGTTTCTGCTACCTGCAACCCTTTATGAGCTCTGTGAAGAAAGTCGCTTGTATTTGCTTTCGTATAACAGTTTCTATAGTTCAGAATACGTGTGAAAAACCAGTAATATAACCACACGAATGTAGTTGTGTTTCACATAGTATCTTGCCATGAAAAACAGTTCGCAATAAATAAAACTTGGTACAAACGATAGTTTATTAAGAAACACGCTTTAAAATGATGTGTGACGTGTAACCGCTTCTATTCAAGGATATGCAACAATTTTGAGTCTCAGATTTGAACGGCGTAGAGATCACAATTTCTCACTAAACCAATCTTGAATAGATCGCTGTGTAATCTACAAAATGACTATAACTTCTACTCCACTGGCAGAGTGCAAGTGCAACGTGCACCTGACTTCATCAAACATCGATGGAATTGATTGTATGCATACTTGGCCAATATGATGACTTTTAGCGGTTTACCAATGTATTGTGTCAGTACCAATGTATTATGTCATCCTCTTAGACAGGTGTGACACCAATTTGACGACCAAAGAGGGATGGAAGGTTTAGTGAGCCAGGAATACGGGGTCGAACCAACGACCTCGTATGTGTTATAGAGTACCTCAAACCACTGCACTACATTCACTCGTTACCGTGAGATATGTCATAAAATTTGGTGTACGTCACAAAGTGTTAACACATGCAACACTGGTCATACGTTAATTTTATTGCGTTGATGCAAAAGTGATGTCCATCTCGCACATTAAACCATCATCTATAAACTCGTAGTGAACTTTACTAATTGAGGTGAAAGCCATTAGAATCTACAGATCATTGCCAACAATGCATAACTTTTGTTTTACTACCATAATGAAATTCTGATTCTTTGGGACCCAAAGTTCATACTTTTATCTTTTTTTTCTCATCGAGTCTTGTATTTCAAAAGTGAAAGCACTTGAAGACGCAAGACCTCACCATGGAAAACACGATAGAGTTCCCCAAGGTATCTTCAGCGTTGGTGGTTGTGGTGGTTAAGAATTAATGGTGCTAAAAGCCTAATTTTTTTTTCCATTGTTCGAAAATATCAGTTCTGGGCAAATTTGCAGTTAGATGAATACCTCAAGAAGATTATTTATACCCTCAAGACGATAAAGGAAAGCCACTTCTATAAATTGGTGAAGTTCTCAACTCTTCATATGGGTTCGAGAAATTATTGCAAACTCTTGAAAAACGAGTTCAGGAAATTATGTGTGAATGAAGTTCATGGATATACGATGTGAAAGCGTTTGACTAAGATCTCTGTTAGCTGGTTTTCTACACGTGAATTTCATCTACCGTTGTCTGTGTGGCAGATTCCCGTACTGTACGTGCGTGATCATGAAGACGGCGACAAAGCGTTGCAGGCTGTCAATCTTCACTTTCTTGTCTTTCCATCCATGTCTTTTTTGTAGAGCTCTCTAGTGAGGCATTGAAATTTTATTACAGATGGGCTTTGTCAAACACCTCATTTCACTTTTGTGCTATTCAAACTACATAGGTTTTCACGTCGTAGAACATTCTGGTGAACTCATTTCGTTGTTTGTTCATAGTGTTCGTTAGTATTACTATTATTTGTCAAGAGCTTCATTTAGATAAAAGAAATGTTGGTATTGGGCAACACGGTATCTTATCTTTTATACTAGGAATATTTCGATAGACTCAGCAATTTAGTATATGTGACTGACTACAAAGTTAGCAGCTGCCACATCGCAGGTATCTGCGATTTCAGCATTTCTCTCAAGCTATCTGACAAACGAAAGCTATATTCAATAAGTTAAACTATAAGCTATCTATATCAATTCGGCTAATCCGCGATTCTCATCATTGGTTTCTTCTTCCCTACTTGAGGACGTTGATGCTTCAATAGGCGACAAAAACTATTTGAAACTTGCTGTACTAGGATTAAACCAAAACTATATTATCTAGTTTTTTTCCATTTAATGTAATGAGGATAGCAATGGCGAACGATTGATGCGGTTTGAGCAGTATCGCTAATGTTTTGTCATTTTTGCACTGTTAGATTATAGGCTCTTACAGGGTTAGAAAAATGAAACCTTTTTTCTGCTGGATAAAAGATAGTATGATTTTTGGCTTACTATGCGAGGATATTATGTAATGTACATGGTGCTTGTTTATGGTCGAGATTCTATATCTTCCCAACGTGCTTGACAGAAGCTAGAGGACAAGCTTGGCGCTGAAGCAGAACTGCAGAATATACCGCTATGTAAATAAATAAATATGTGTGTATTTATAATACGCATAGATGTTTCGGATGCACATGCTTTTTAATCGTGCAAGGCAACAAGTCCATCGTTTGGGTAGACCTGCGCGATAAAAACAAGAACTTCGCCATTTTTGAGAGTCTCGTACTTAAAGATCGCAATTTTAGGAGATCTACATATTTCGATAGTTTTAAAATGTTGAAAAGATTGTTGAAGTCAAGTTAACAGATCTGTCTGTGTAATTTCAAACATATTGTGCCACATTATTTTCTATTGACGTAGTAGTGATTTTCATAAATAGTATTCTAATCATCGTTTGGGCGTTATCATCATCTTGAGAACTGTACTGGTTCGATCTGGTATTCATAGTGAGCTTAGGTTCCAAAAGATTTAAATCCACTTCTCATATTAAGGTATGAACTGTTATTTAAAGACAAGATTGTTGTGGTTAGTAATGATGTATTCGCTCTGTGATCTTTATGCCTTACGATTCCATAATAAGTGATAGTGGCTATTAGTACGATACCATATAGTTCTTATTGGTGTAAGTCTTTGTGTTTCAGGGTCTGTCTCCCGAATGTGCAGCGTGCGAGATCCTCAGGGCTGCATCGGCTCGCGAAATCGAGCTAATTATGGCCCCATTTTCGAACAAGATAGCGATATTTTTGCGTTGGGCTTGGCCAACGCTTCTCTTCTACATTCTTCATAGAAGAGGACTGAAGGACGAATATGCGAAGAGTAGAACTAGTTAAATAGAGTTAATGGAACTTGATATTTTGTTTCGATATTTTTCCAACTCACTTTACACAATAGTTTGTTGTGATGTTTTGCTGCTCGTGCTGTTAATTTCTCAATAAAAAGTTTTTTTTTTACTACGTTTTCTGTTTCGTGTGTTAAACCGTACACATTTCTAGTTGTTGTGTATATTCTGTTGTTTGTCCTAGTTAGTACAGTACTTTTATTTCAGGTGTGTAACTATCGTGGTTACATAAAACTAAGTCGTTCCAAATTCGAGGAGGAATTGGATAGTTTGCGTAGAAGTTTGGAGGATAATCTTGGGAGACGTCGTTCAGTCGTGCCCAGTCAATATGAAGTAAGTGGAGTTGCTGTTAGAGTCAGCAGGCCGAGTTTTTGTAGTGTTGATTTTGTTTGTTCCCAGCGCAGCATGCAGTGAGATTCTTTGAAATTGAAGTACTAGTTATTACCATATACTAGCCTCTCACAATAATTAAATTGCAGCTGTGAGTGTGTTTTCGAGGTGAAAAACTTTCTGTTTGTTGAACAAGCCAGGTATCTCATATGAATTAATAGGAAAGCAAACAAACTTCTTATGGAAGTCGGTTGGTTAGTTAACCCATAAACCCACGCTATCATATTTCGTGGTTATCCCATCCGATTATGAGCAGTTTTTGCTTAACTGTTGATTTTCTATTTCTTCAATAATGGGAAGTATTTTTTCAAGAACCAGAGTTGCGGTAGTTGTGAACGCGGCAGAATTATAGAAGAGACTATGTCTTTTTTTTTGTTTAGCAATCGCGAGGTTTTTAAACAGAATACATTTACTTCCATAAAAAAAACAGTACAATACAACACTAGCTGACGTTTTGGCAGTATCGCCTTCTTCAGAGCCGCTTTTTCGTGACTTCCAATGAGGAAATTTAGAACAGCTGATTATAGTCGCATATGGTTGTCGACTCACTCGACTCAGAAGGCGATACTGCCGAAACGTCAGCTAGTGTTGTATTGTATTGTGTTTTTCTATGGAAGTAAATGTATGCTGTTTAAAAACCTCGCGATTGCTGAATAAGAAAACGACACATTCATATTCCAATGCCAAGGTTAAGAGAAAGTCGATCCTGGGAACTATTAGAAGAGACTGTGTTCTATGGTTCAATGGGTACGAGTGATATTCATGCTACTGTTTACTGTGTGTTACTCTGATCCACTATTCAATGCACGTTTTTGGTTTCACACTTTTGCGCGTTCTGATTCTTTTGATTTTGTATATTGTATCCATTTTGGTGTTTTTTACATTCAGGATTTCCAAGCGATGACCGTAAAGATTGAAGTAAAGAAGTAGATAGTTGTTATTCAGAATATCTGGTCCATGAAATTTTTTGAAAAATTTTTTTTTGCAAATCATTGCGTTTAGGGCATAGTTCTTGTGATATCACATCAACAATTTAGATCTGCTTTCGATTAACTAGCGAATGAGTGTAAACGGTAAAAAAACTGGAAGCCACTGAGCGACCGTATGGAGACTATAGTGTTCATATGGTCGTTTAGTCCAGTCCACTGTGTAAACTGTAGTATCCATACCAAGCGTTATGGGTTAAAGATGATACGTATGTTTCTTTTTCTCAGTGTCAATGTAATTTTTCGATTTTTGCCCTTGTAAATTATGCTGCTAAATCGAATTAAGTTATAATAATTACTTGGGCTTTACTAAAATAATAAAGAAATGTCGTAGATTTGGGCTCCCGAGATCAATCACGCTGACGGGTGATTGCTGATGGCAAAAGGTCGATAGAAATAGCTGAGAGACAGGCGAAACGAAGGACCCTCATGGTGTGGTGGTGAACGCGTTACTCTCCGGAAAGGACAACAGCGCGTTGGTTGTCCGCCTTAGACACCTGCGGTTCGGAGTTTTGCAAACATCTCAGCATCATTAAAACTAAACTAAGGAGGAATTACATGCAACAAATGATACCGTTTTACATAAGGATGCTCAAAGACATGTGAAGTCATTTCCGGAGTCAAATTTAGACTAGTTGGTCATACTGTTTTGTGATCGACTTGTGGAGTCACAAACTACGGTGGCCTCAGGACCAGCCATTACACTGGAGAATTATTGCCAGAAATTGCAAAGAATGCATAAAAGATTGCAATGATTGAAATCGGCTTCGAACATTCAATGAGATTATTTCTTCTGCAAGAGAATTCCTGACAACAGGTTGAAACGCAGCTTTACCTAGCGTAAGCGTTGTGCCTTTCATCATTTAACTATCACTTTTCCAAATACATAGACTACAACTTGTTAGGAAGATTCAAGGGTCAAGTCTTTGATGAAAATGTTTTCGAAAATTCATGAGTTTACATGTCTGTATGGAATGAGGACACTTATCTAGTTAACAGTTATATAGCAATTCTATCGATTTTGGTTAAATTCCACAGTTTACTTTCACGAGCACTGGGTTGGTTCGATCTTTATCAGGGCTCACCAATTTTCCCGTCCTTGCGCGGTCAGGAAACTGTTGCGGGACTAGTCTAGAAACACCTCAATCCCTGCAGTCGAAGTTGAAACGCTCAAGCCCGACTATCCCAGGACTAAAGAGAATCGACGCGACGAGCGTTCCATGGCCGTTACATGACGAGCATTCAACATACATCCCTCCCATGTAATCGGACCCTCACTGAAACAATTCGGAGGCCTTCATGGATGATGGATGCGATCAAATGAATCGAATGCAAGAAATGCTGGAACCGGCAAAGAAAATGTGAACGCGAGTCGTGTGAAAGAAGATTACTATATGGATAAAGTCGGAAATCGGACAACCTAATAGTTATACTGTGTCGCAGTAATTAAAGGTAAATTAGTAGCTCGTATGAAATGCTGAGATATTTGCAAAACTCCGGACCACAGGTGTATGCAGTGTGGAACGAACACGCGCTGTTGTCCTTACCGGGGAGCAGCGCACTTCACCACTACACCATCCGGGTCAATGGCCCTTGTTTACAATTTTTGCACGAAAAGTAGAAATCGACCTGTGTTGATTTTACTGATCAAGTCGTCGTTATTCCTTGAGAGTTTTGAAAACAGTTAATTCAAGATTTTTTTGGCAGCGTCCACATCTTGTGAGAATCACTGTTGTTTGCTTGATTTTTATCGGACACCGGTCTCTTCAATGCTTATGTGCTTCTCTGCACGTAGTACATACCTACATCCACATACGCACAAATATACGTACAAATGGTGTAAACTTAGCAACTGTATGAATTGAGTCACACTGGCACGACGCTAATTGGGTCCTACTTGAATAGAAAGTTAGATAACCTAATAAAGCGCGTAGGGCGTTGGCTAGGTATGTGCTATAATACGCACATGGTCATTCATTCGATCGTGCGTATTGGACAAACCAAACTCTTCGTCCTTACGGGACCAACAAATTGGTACCGGTCTTGTATGTGAGGATAAAAACATTAATTTGATACATTGGTAGTTTCTTGCAAGTCATTGGATAGGCCATATATGCATTCGTCGACCTCTGCTACGCTACGAATTGGATCAAATGCATGCTGCGTATCTGTGAGATCGGTCGACACTGCAATCTACATTTTTTAAACCAGAATGGTGAAGTGACAACGATAGTTTTATATCAGTATATTATCCATTTATTTGTAAGCGTGATAAATGCAAGCGTTGTCCGATGTTGAGCCAGATTTAATCACCTGGGAAATGAATGAAAGTAAAACATTCCGTCTCTCTCCATCCATCACGTGGGCTTGTTCACCATTCCTTTCCTTCTGCTAGCGATTCCCGGCAATCTGCAGAAAATATTTCATGTGTTATATATTCGGCACTCGATGTTACTTGGATGACAATAGTTTTTTCTCATCCTTGGTCATGTGTCCGCAGTGAATTCCCCAAAAATTCTCTGCGGTTGTTCAATGCAGTCAGACTGGTTTTTCGCCATTTTGTGGTTACTTCAGTGAGCAGTATTTGTCATGTCATGATGGCTATTGTTCACTAACGAAACATAGTGATGAAGGACCAAACGACCAATGTCTGTTAGTATCACTCTTACTTTCCTTCATATGTGTACTGTATTTTCACATGAAATTGAGAAATGAATACAGAATGCACATTACTTTGAGATCCAATGGATTTGTACATGCTTGGCAGTAGATTCGTTCCTGCATAAACAGTCTCTCATCTCTCTGAGCTTGAGAAATTGAGATGAGGTATGTCTGGATAGAGCTAGAGCTACCATAAAGGCTAGCTACTGTCTGTGGCGAAAACTTTCGAAGAGGGACGAGAAACGAAGAACGCCGTAGCAGGGTTATCTCAGAATAGTGGGAAGAATCGACTCGACCAACTTTTAACGACACTTATAGAAAACGCCGAGAATTTTCAAGATGCTCTTCATGAGCTGAAAAATTTCACACATTTCTTACCACTGTGAGCTCTACGAAGACAGGTAACAGAGTGGTGCTTATACCATGCATTACGCAAAAACCGGACGCTATGCAGGCGAATGTCCGAACCCTCCCGGTGCTGCCAAGTCTCTGTTATCACTGGAGTTGGACAATTGGTACAGGACTGATCTGGGACGAACTAACTCCTAATTCACGGGTTGTCGGAGAAATTTGAGAGATTCAAGAATTCACTGGCATTCTTGACGAAAACGAAACGATTCCCAAGAAGCAACGGGAGTCCACATCCAAGGATAACAGTTCGAAGGCTTTGGTGAATGGTGGATGTGAGGAAACGGATAGAGTTTAAGAAGTGCTAGGATCAGGAGATTGTGTTATATGTAACGATGGATCATCTAAAAAATATGAACTCTGTGCGGCTGACTTCATTTTCGTCGAAATCGTAGGAAGGCGAGCATTCTATGCGTATGATATTGCCACATGAGACTTTTTCTTGTTGGTATTATACAAATCTCACTTCAGTATTTAAATCGTTTAAATGTCAAAATGATAGTAATGATAACAACTTCGGGATAACAAAACTCTAAGTGTGAAAACTATAAACACCGAACCGATCAGTCAACGTGGAGACGATATACGGCATTTGGCTGGGTACACATGGGTGAAGCTAACGGTACATACACATAAGTTCAACGGTAAAGAACGAGAGGTTACAGGTATGACATATGCGCTGGTGTGGTTCTTGTCTTAGCCCTGGATGCCATATTTCCAGCATATTACGAAACTGGTGCGCAGCCATTCGAGGACAACTTCGGGAGGAATTTCCTGGCACAAAAGATGAGAATAACTATAGAACAAGTTGTTACTCGAACAGTAATTTAGCAGTCATGTTAGTTATTAATACTGTCTATTGGTTTATGGGGAGCTTAACATTCAAGTCCACAGCATAAGTTGAAGCGAAAGGATGAAGATAGTGACGATAGCAATACAAGTCCAGGTTTAATGTCGTTAATAGTAAGCATTACTAGCACAGCAAATGTGAAGGGATATGAAAAAATGGTAATTATCCAGACTAAATATAGGAATTATTCCTAAAGAAAAAAAAATTAAAATTTTTTTAATAAATCCTAAACCACAACGTTGCTGAGATATTTGCAAAACTCCGGATCGCGGGTGTCTATGGTGGGGAACGAACGCGTTATTGTCCTTTCCGGGGAGCAGCGCACTTCACCACTACACCATCCGGGTCCTTCGTTTTACCTGTCTCTCAGCTAGTTCTTCAGCATTCTCAGCAAATATCTCAGCATTATATACGAGTCATATTTCGCAACATACTCTGCCATTAAAAAGAAAAAGGCAGTAAATAAAAGATCCCAGGATCGACTTTCTCTTAACCTCGGCATTGGAATATGAATGTGTCGTTTTCTTGTTCAGCAATCGCGAGGTTTTTAAACAGCATACATTTACTTCCATAAAAACACAATACAATACAACGCTAGCTGACGTTTCGGCAGTATCGCCTTCTTCAGAGCCTGGAAGGGTATACTGATATACAATCTACTATGCCAAACGCTTCAATAACACTTATACAAAGACGAAAGACTCTTTGGTAATTACACGATCAACAACTTCTCGAAAAACCCACCGCTTTTTCGTGACTTCCAATGAGGAAGTTTAGAACAGCTGATTATAGTCGCATGTGGTTGACGACTGCACCATCCCACATCAAAAATCGATGCGAACGTACGGGATCAGGTCGCGTATGACCTCCGGGCATTACATACACGTATAACCGTCTGTGTGAAACAACTAATTGCGTAATTTGCCCTTACGGCAGGGACGGTGATTGCATGAGTTCAGGTACGATATACCTGATCTCGTGTAACAATTGCGGAGATGAATATATTGGCGAAACGGGCAGACCTTTGTGTATCCGTATAAAAGAACACCTAGATGGCAAACCAAAACTAAGACGAAGCACCCCACTAGGCACGCATAGGATACAAAAGCATAGTGAAGACGATTTTGAAGTAAAAGTCAATATTCTTGCACAGGAGTCCAAAACACCAGCGCGTAAATAAAAGAGTTAAGATTGTGATTATAACTAAGCCTCAGCTTAACTGGGTTCAATGCCGATATTGGCTCGCCAGATCAATCCCGTTGACGGGTGATTGCTGATGGCAAGAAAGATCGATAGAACTAGCTGAGAGACATGCAAAGCGAAGGACCCGCATAGTGTGGTGGTGAAGTGCGCTGCTCCCCGGTAAGGACAACAGCGCGGGGTCGTTGCCCACCGCATACACCTGTGGTCCGGAGTTTTGCAAATATCTCAGCATTTCATACGAGTTATAATTCGAAACATAACCTGCCATTAAGAAGAAAAAGGCAGTAAATAAAAGAGTTAAGATTGTAAATTAGTAGATTGAAAGCTTCATTTTTCAACGGTTGTCTGTTGAGTTTTTTGTCTCTGATGTGAGTAATCCGTGAATCCCTTAGTTTTGATTGCTTGTTATTATTCTTCTTAAACTTTTGAAATAGGAAAGTGACAATTCCTTTTCAGGTAAATGATTTTCTGCGTTCGAATGTGTGGTTGCTGAGTGGATTTGCTGCTGGTTGGCTGATAGGTTTTGGTCTTGCCTAATCTGTGAAGAGACTTTTATAGCCATTTTCTAAAGGGCGTTCCTCACTAACATTTGATGGTCTCAGCCAGCATCACTCGAGGCATTAATGTAAACTTGCCATTTTTTTAAATGTGGTTTGCTTTTGTATATTTTCTTGACAATTTGTGAATTCGACTTTCCAGTTCTGTTAGTTTGGCGTTTGAAATTTTCGACAGCGAATTTTGTAAGTTCTGTAAGTTGTAATGTCGGAAAATTCCTCAAGATGTGTTATAAACTTTGAAATTGTTCTAAAATTTTCGCTTTATTAATTTTGTAAAGTGACATCACTACATTCCAATAAGTAGTAAAGTTAAATAGTTCTGAGGACCTGTATTATTCGAGTTTGTAAAGCGTATAAAGTAGTGGTAAAGTGTTGATAGTGTTGATAGCTTGATTAAAAGAACAGAAGAATATTTGCGAAAAAAAAAGCGAAAAACCTTACCATATTGAGCTGGTTGCGATTTTAAGGGGAAATTAATCATAGGGAAAGTATTGAATGAGCTTCTGTAATAAATGTGGTACTGTACACGAGTTGTCCATCAGCTAAATTTTTTAAAGGAATTTAGTCAGAGCTACAGCAGATTTGTCAAAAGTACAATATGGAATAGAACAATAGATATAAGTACTGTATATAGCATATAAAGTAATGGTTATTTCCATTAATATGTGCTTCAGCATGCGAACGTTGTCATGCAACGTTCTACAGTTGTTGATTGGACCGCTGTTAACGTGGTAAGGCAAGACTTCGTAGGCCTTTTTGCCGTTCATAGGTCAAAGATTGTTAGTGCTACGTCAGGATTTGCCGAAAGTCCCGTGAGACCGTCTCGGTTTTGCTTCACGGACCTACGCAACTAAGCTGAGAAGAGGTGATACACAGGCAGAAATGGCACTAATAGCGTGGACAATTAAAATCTGGGGTATAGTAGCAAACACCACAAAAAGCGCAAGGAAAACGAATAATTGTCCGAGAGACCTTCCGCTGTTCTTCATATCAGGCAACATTGACAACATTGTTTCGACGGTTGTCCTTGATATTTACCGCTATCAGGATACCGACGATTGATCTGCCTGATTAGGTCGTAGAAGATCTAAAATTAAATTTCAGCGTTCATTCAACATTCGTAATGAAATAGGTACTTAATAATGGACGTTTAATGACAACAAAGATACCTTGATGTACAGATTTATATTAACATATTGGAGAGCGCTCTAAAGATACAACAGTACAACAGCACCGATTTTTCGCATTGGTGCTATAAGTTATATATTGCTCATTCCGGCCATAACGTAGCCACACACGTGTTATATGTATCGTTCCCATTAACTACACTCATTGTGCTTCTTTGTCGGTATAAAACGGCATTAGTCTCCTCCGAACGCGTGCGAGACGCCTGCCTTTCTGGCAGCCTTCTCACATGTGTACTTCTACAATTTCCTCACCGGAAACGGCCTTTTCAGTATTCCTGCAACAGTATTCAAGACCAATAAACTCTTCTGCAGAACGGTTTTCCATGTTTTCGGGTGCAGAATAAAACCTTTCTCGAATATTAGAATGTATTCGATGAGCTACTGATCACCTACAAAGAGTGTAGCAAAAAAGTTCTGCAGAAAAAAAACCAGGGAGAAATACAATGGGTCACATATGACCCATACATTGTTAATTGCGATCCAACAATGCTTTTTTTTTCGTAGTACAAAACAGATATGGTCACGGACCTCGTTTACGTTGATTTTAGACTTCGCAGACGTTTCTAAATATGCCGAGCCAAATTGACGTGCTAAATTCTGGCCTTGATCTTTACCAACTACACGTTCGTCTTCAAGGTCACATTTGTTGCCGACAAGAATCATTGGGACCTGAAAGGAAAAACTTAGAAAAAAAAGCCGGCTAACGAAAACTTCTGCGCTAAATCGTGCTGCCCTACCTCATCGGTGTCTTTCACTCGAAGAATCTGATCTCGTAGGTCTATAAGATCATTGAAAGTCGACTGGGCCGTAATCGAGTACACAAGCACGAATCCTTGACCATTTTTCATGTAGAGATCACGCATGGCAGTGAATTGCTCCTAAATTCACGTCACTTACGAGATGTAAGAAACCTCTCAAAACGGTTATTATTCGTTGCTGTGTTCCTGTGAAGACACTGGTCTGCGCCGCTGGACTGGTTCAGATAGTGTGAAGTAATGTGGAGCGCAATACAGTGAGCTACGATGGCTTGGTGAATTAACTGATTAAGGATTTCGTCATCTATTTGAAGTAGCCAGAAAAAAATGTAACAGTTTGTCCACGAAAATCACTTCATTAATTCCTTCTGCACATTGGGAGCATGTAAAGCAGTGGTTAGAGATGCAATGTAATACACACGTGCTCATTTGTTGCACGCTTATACTTGGGTTAAAGCCGACCTTCTTCTGTCCCAGAATTGTTTCAAGATAGAAAAAAACACTGACGCGACCCATTGGCAGACCACAATAAGTTATAGTATAGACCAAATGTTCATTCAGCCACCTCTATTTTAATGCGACAAGAGCGAAGCGCTAGACGCATCCTAAGGAATACACATATGTTGAAGGCTTAATCCTTTATTGTTTATTTGATATTTGACACTTACTAACCAAGTTGTAAAATCTCAATTAATACGCAATTTATGAGATTCTTTAATGCACTCTCGCGTAAGCCTACACAAGCCACCAGCCTATCCAACGCTCGATAAGAAACATTTCTTGGCTATAAATTTGACACTACATTCTGGGAAAAATGCAAGCAAAATTTGGGGTTCTTATTCGAATCATGCAGAATACCACAGCGCTTCAGGAGTATGCTTATTCAGACCCCTCCAGCGTTCGTTTTGAAAAACAATTGAAGAACATCTAAAAAATATTTGAAATGGTTTTTTTGATCTTGATGAACAAGGTTCTCATCGTAATGTTTCGATGTCGCAAATACTTCCTGTTTAGGCGCGCGTGTAGCGCACTGGTCGGAGACTCCGTCCAATACACATGGGATCGATCATCGTGGTTCAGACCCACTAAACTCTCCATCTCTCTGGAGTGGACAAACTGCTACCAAACGTGTCTGAGAGGATAGCAGCACTAGCTCGATACATCGGTAAACCACCGCAAGTCATTGTCAAGGCTAGATATGCATTCAATCGCCTCCAACAATGCTTAATGAAGTCGAATGCATGACGCCTCCCTTAAGGAAAGATGAACCTCGAGAGCTTTATCTTTTTATTATTTTTAGGGAAATGTGTATCGCATTGGCTTAAAGTGTCGTTGTCGTTGGTTCTATTCCGCTTTCCGAGCTTACCAAGCCTCCCATCTCTCCGAAGTTAACCAATTTATACCAGAGGAGCCTAGAAGGATAAAAACACCGACCTCATACATCTCTGCGACCTACAAGTCATTGTATGGAACAGATATGCCTTCGGTCACCTTAACTGTGCTAATGGAGTTTAGTTCACGGTGCATCCACGAGGGATTAGCTAACGCTATACGTTTCACTCGTTTGAAGTCATTATAGATATAACTTACTGTTCCAGCTGTATCAAGGATTTCCAGCATACATTGCTGCCCATCGACTTCAACTTGCTGAAAGAATTCATTAATCTTACACGACATGTAATTTGCACTTTTATAACAAACCTTTCTGTAGCTGTCTTCTATCGTTGGATCGTATTTCTCCACAAAAATTCCTTGAACAAATTGTACCGTCTGAAAAAGTTGCTTTCTGACTGGAATTAGACTTTCGCGTTCGTCAGATTAGAATTCAAATCAAACCAAAAACTTAAAATCCATGAAATCTAACCAGCGCTGATTTTCCCACACCTCCACTACCCAGTACAACGATTTTATATTCCCGCATTTTGTACCTGAATAATCTCCATAACGGTTATAATGAATTTGATCCTTCCTTATTTATTAGGAAAGAACGGTTTTATACAAAAGTTAAGGACGAGAAAATGATCAACATAATGGTAATCAGTACTACTGAAACAGCAGAAAATAATGTGCAGGAATTTGTAAAACTTCAGAAACAACCAGGAAAGTTTTGGCTCGGGATTTTACATTGAATATTGTTCAAAAAGTGTGTAAATGAACGTTTTTCAGAGGAATGAGCATTGTTTGTGGATAAAATAAAGTCCTTTAAACACTAACAATCAAAACATAGTACTTCTAAAATTTTCCCCCTATATTCAAAATATGGCTTCTTATTCTTACGTGGATACAGAACCGGACCCTCTAAGGCATTCTTTTCACTCAATGAATAAGTAACGATTCTTTTAAACTGGTATTATACCTTCATGAGATTCATAAAGCCAATGAGTACGGTATTCTTGATTGTTATGGTGTTCCCATTAACATGTTTCGACGGAAACCGGCGCCATTGGGGCGATTAACAGCTAAAAAGTCGAAGAAGAACGATTAAAGAATTTTCTTTGTTATTTTTCCGCAATGACGGTGGTGAATGCATCGTAGCAGAGTTATGAGATGACGAAGCGAAGTCTTTTTTATTTTAGCGACAAAATCCAGACATTCTCAAAATAACATCTCAATTTGTCCTAATAAAATCGCCACTTTTTTACTCTGGCTTGTAACCGTAAAAAAGTGAAAAAGGAAAGATTATGTTGAAATAATTACGAGGCAGTCAGTTTGTTGCGTTCTCCGAGTGTAGAGTGTTCTTGGGTGCTGAACTCCTCTGTACAGCATGAGTTCATTCCATCAAGAGATCTATCTGAGCTCTAAAAGAGTTACCCAGTTAAATTCGTAAGCTAAGACTGGCAAGGAGGCGGCCAATGACATGGCAGAGTCGAGCGAGCTACCCAGAGCCATTTCTCATCAAAAACAGAAGCAATAAAAGGCTTGATAACAAAAGTGTAACGCCTTTCGTTGAGCGCACCCCAATAAGGAGCACTGGTGATTGGCAAAGAGTTTGGTGGAGCGTGCTCGAGTTGCTTAATGACCATAGGAATTGCTGATGACACGATTTACGATATTTTTATGTCAACTGACAAGGGTTGGAATACTAAAATAAAACAGCAATCAGTAAATGAGCGGAATGCGCAACTTTTTCTTCGGCACTGTGTCTCACACAAGGCCAATGAACGGCAATGCTTTACTATAGCATTAGCTTATAAACTGTTGCTGTTTAGTGTTAACGTAAACGAAATTTAATGCGTCCACAGACAGATGGGCACGTCGAAGGGGACGTTCATGTTTCAGAACGGAGAAATCAGCAGCCAACGATGCATACAACGACGATTACCTCAACCAGCATTGATAGACAGCAGCGGTTAAAGTGCAGAAGCAGACAAAATCCATTTTTATTTTTAAAAATTCACCTTCATAAAGGAAGAATCTTTGAACTGCGGATGTTGCCATGAATACGTAACCAGTAAGGAGTCAATATTAAAATAGCACAAAAGCGGAACATTAAACGTATGGTTAGGGGTGGTTTTGTCTAAATGTTTTCTTCACAGAGTGAGTTCAGAGCAGGAGTTGGAGTTGCTCTGCAAGACAACCGTTGTCTTTGGTTCGAACCTATACCCGAGCTATCAAAGTCTTTAAATTCACTTGGCCTGGAAAATTGGTATAATACATGTCTGCGAAGATCAACACTGACGGAATAGATCAGTAGGCCATTGACAGCCTTGGCACGGGTTCAATATCCATCGTTGTAAGCGATACCAAATTCCATCACTCGTGAGCTTATAAACGGATGGTTTGATCAAATGATGGTTCTGTAAGGGGTGAACTTGCCCGTCTGGTTTATGCCAGCAATAGAATGATGTATGCATGTAATAAAACATAACATGCAACAAGTATATAGCAAGGAACCTCAGAACTCACTCATGTTGAAAATCTAGTGTTTATTTATTTAAAAATGATATTCAAACCAGTCGCAGGATTTTTCGTTTTCAAAGAAGGAATAATGGAAGTGACAGGGTGGACGAACTGGACGATAAATCGCTGGTATGTTTGACAATGTAGTTCAAATTTGACACTCTTCTAATGACTATTGTATAGCACAAGAACTACGTAAATACATACTACGACAATTCCTTTGAATCTGTGCCCACATGTTTTCAGTGGATGGTCTTGTAGATGTTCACAGTTCCAATTTTTCCTTTTCTATTATTTGAAGATCTGCTGTGCCCAACCACAATGTAAACCCAGCAAGTGGTCCACTCACCTATGCAAGAGTCAGACAAGCGGAGATGACTTTAGAGATTAGCCATAAGCTTACACTCGAAATCACAGTAGTCAAGGAAGAAGGTTAGTTGCGAAACGATAAGCTTCCTACTTAGTCATGAAAGCAGATTTTTTCCAGTATCTCTGCTGTGGACTTAGAAATATCTCAGAGAATCTAGGAACCGAAAAGAGCTTTTCACAGCGGAGCAATAGCAATCGCGTAAAGTGGTGGTGTGCATATTTTTATAAAGGCAGATGATCCAAGCATCGAAGTCAAGGTCGTTAATTGTTTTCGCCACTAACGATGCCATTTGGATCACTAGTGTTCCAAATGACTCATGACTTCAAATTTGTACTTTTAAACTAACGTCCTCCTAGAAAAGAACTGCCACTGTCTGCATGGGAAAAAAAGTAACAGTTCTACGCAATCTAGTGTATAAAAAGAATACGTAGTGGAATCAATTAGAAAGAAAAAACATCGTTGTAAGCGATACCAAATTTTATGAGCTGATGAATAGCCCGCGATAGACTGCGTCATTTTTAGCGGGGGCGAGATTCACCAGACATGGATTCCTTCTGAATAATCAGACGATCGACGTCAAAAAATTTCAGTGCAATTGTAAAAAATATTAAACACGTCAGCCTATGGTAACACTAAGCATTAAAGAATTTTTATCCTGAAGTACAAACCGTTGCAGTAATAGCATTATTCTAACATTCTCTCTAATACTTCATTCTAATTTTCGCAATAGGGGCGCGTGTGGTGCAGTGGTTGGAGGCGCCACTGCGATCCCCGCGCCCATGGCCCACCGAGCCTTCCATCCCTCCGGGGTTGGCAAATTGGTACCACACTTGTCTGGGAGGATAGCAGCACTACCTCGATACATCGGTAGGCCACTGTGAGTCATTCTAAAGGCCAGATATGCATTCAATCACCTCCAACGATACTTAATGAAGTCCAATGCACGGCGCATTCCTGAGGGATTGATCAACGCCGAGAGCTCTATCCTTTACACTTTTTTAATTTTCGCAGTGTACATTGAGCATTGAAAAATTTTTCGGAAAACTCGTTCTCTACAGATAACTAAGTGTACAGAAAAGTTTTCCGAGGTTCACGTTTGACACAACATCTGTGTAGAATAGGCTATCGATAGAATATAAAAAGCTTAGCAAATTAAGTATTTTCTGGAAAATAAACAGTGAAAAAGAATGTGCAGTAAACTCAATGTCCCACATGATTCATTACGGCAATCCACGTATGCATTGATACCCATACATACGGTTGCTTTTGCTTTGAAGAACTTAAAACACTTTAGATAAAGGATAAAGGATAAAGCTCTCGGCGTTGAACAGAGCATGCACTCGACTTCATGAAGTATCGTTGAAGGTGACTGAATGAATATCTGGCTTTTGCAATGACTCGCGGTCGTCTACCGATGAATCGAGCCAGTGCTGCTATCCTACCAGACAAGTTTGGTACCAATTTGCCGACCCCGGAGCGATGGTCCAGACTTGGTGGGACATGAGCGCAGAGATCGATTCCGCGTGTGTGTTGCTGGGCGCCTCCCACCACTGTGCCCCATGCGCCTCTTAAAACACTTCAAATTTTACAAAAAAAAGCATAAGTGCTATCGACAAAGAATATCGTCTCATCCATTACAGTTGTGATGACTGTGTTAATTTGATTCGCGAAAGTGAACCAAATTAAAGTTGCACATATCTTTTGACATTTTGTGGTATGTAAGTTAGGGAAAGATATTTTTGAATTTTTTCACCCAGCTGCTGTTTGTCGCTCATCGTTACTTTCTGCTGGTTTGCTGTTTCGACGAAGTACTTTTTGTCTCTTTGTATCAATTTTATGAAGCCCGTCGTTTTTTTTTAAAAAGAGGCTTACATTAAACTCAGCCGAACTGGAAAGCATTAATGTTTTAGTGATCAGACTGGCTTTTCTTCTTGGTTATCGTTCAGTATTACTATTTAGCTTTCTACGAACGATACAGCATTATCTGTGAAAATGGGGACATTTCCGTCTGTTGTTTTTGCCGAAATTATTCCTAAACTAGAATGAGGAACGTCTACGGAATAGTCTTTTCAGTGATGTATTTGTGATTCCGTACCAGATTGACTGTCATTATGTGCCATCTAGCCGGTTATAGGCGCGTGTGGCACAGTGGTTGGAGGCGCCACTGCGACACACGTGGAGTCGATCCTCGCGCCTATGGCCCACCAAGCCTTCCATTCCTCCGGGCTTGGTAAATTGGTGCCAGATTTGTTTGGGAGAATAGCAACACTGGCTCGATACATCGGTAGGCCACTGCGAGTCATTGTAAAGGCCAGATATGCATTCAATCACCTCCAACGATACTTAATGAAGTCGAATGCATGGCGCATCCCTCAGGGATTGAGCAACGCCGAGAGCTTTATCCTTTACCCTCTTACTCGGTTGTAATTCATATCGTACCTTGTCATGAAAAAAGAATAGGTGATAAATAAAAGTCAGAACTTTCAATGATGCTGAGATATTTGCAAAACTCCGGACCGCAGGTGTCTGCGGTGGGGAACAAACGCGCTATTTTCCTTTCCGGGGAGTAACGCGTTCACCACTACACCATGCGCTTTCTTCGTTTCGCCTGTCGCTCAGCTAGCTCTATCGATCTTTCGCCATCAGCAACC